AACATGAAAAGATGCTCAGCATCATATGTCACTGGAGAAAAAAAAAAACAAATGACAATGAGACACTACTATACTCATATTAGAAAAAAAAAAATCCAAAAAACTATTAATACCTAATGCTGGCAACAAAAAAAAACAACAGAAACTCTCATTCATTGCCAGTGGGGATGCAAAATAGTACAGCCACTTTTGAAGACAGTTTGGCAGTTTACATTAAAAAAAAAGCTAAATGTATTCTTGCCATCTGACCCAGCAATCAAAAAAAAAAGGATTTACCAGAAAGAGTTGAAAACTTAGCCCACAAAAAAAAAAGCACACAAATGTTTATAGTAACTTTACTCATAATTAAAAAAAAATAGAAGCAACTAAGATATTTTTCAAAAGGTGAATGAAAAAAAAATAGTACATCCATACAGTGGAATAGTCAGTGATCAAAATTAATGAGCATTCAATCCACAAAAAGAAACATTAAATGCATAAAAAAAAAAGAAAGAAGTCCATCTGAAAATTCTATGTGATGTATAAAAAAAAATATGGTTGACCCTGGAACAACACAGAGGGGTAGGGAAAAAAAAAAAAATCGGTGTATAATTTTTAAGTCCCTAATAACAAAAAAAAAAATCGTCTAGTGCTGACCAGAAGCCTTACTGGTAACAAAAAAAAACAATTAACATGCATTTTGTATGACATATATATATAAAAAAAAAAATGTATGTTTATATATATTATGTACTGTATTCTTAAAAAAAAAAGAAATAAAAAAAATTAAGAAAATCATAAGGAAAGGAAAAAAAAAGTGGCTCACACCTGGAATCCCAACATTTTGGGAAGAAAAAAAAAGAAGATTGCTTGAAGCCAGGAGTTCAAAACCCACCAAAAAAAAATGATGAGACCCCATCTCTTAAAAAAAAAAAAAAAAAAAAAAAAAGGTGGGCTGGCATGTACCTGTAGTCCTAGCTACGTAAAAAAAAAAGGCAGGAGGATTGCTTGAGCCCAGAAAGTTGAGGAAAAAAAAAGACAAGATTGTACAACTGCACTCCAGCCTTGGCAAAAAAAAAAAACCCCGTCTTTTAAAAAATAAGAAAAAAGAAAATCAAAAAAAAAAGAAAATATATTTACTATTTATTAAGTGGAACTGGAAAAAAAAAAGGTTTTTATCCTTGGCCTAGAGGGTAGTGCATACCTGCAGTCCCAGCTACTCAGCAGGATGAGGTGGGAGAATTCCTTGAGCCCAGAGGTTTGAGGCTGCAGTGAGCTATGATCACGCCAATGCACTCCAGCCTGGGCAACACAGCATGACTTTCACTTTAAAAAAAAAAAAAAAAATAAATAAAATAAAGGTCTTTATCCTTGTCTTCAAAAAAAAAAGGCTGAGAAGGAAGAAGAAGAAGAGGGTTAGTCTTAAAAAAAAAAGGGTTGCAGGGGCAGAAGAGGTAGAGGAAGTGGGAGGGGTGATAGGAGAGGCAAGTATATTTGGTATAACTTTCATTGAAAAAAAAATTGGCCAGGTGCAGTGGTTTATGCCCATAATCCCAAAAAAAAAAGAGGCCGAGACAGGCGGATCACCTGAGGTCAGGAGAAAAAAAAAAGCCTGGCCAACATGGTGAAAAACCCCATCTCCACAAAAAAAAAACAAAAATTAGCCGGGCGTGGTGGTGGGCGCCTGTAAAAAAAAATACTTGGGAGGCTGAGGCAGGAGAATCGCTTGAACAAAAAAAAAGGAGGTTGCAGTGAGCCGAGATCACACCACTGCACAAAAAAAAAGGCGACAGAGAGAGACTGTCTCAAAACAAAAAAATAATCTTATGAAAGAGGACCTGTGCAGTTAAAACCCATGCTGTTTAAAGGTCAAGTGTATATGATGTTCTAGAAAAGGCAACCTATAAAAAAAAAAAAAAGATCACTGGTTGCCTGGGATTTGGGTGAAGAAGAGAAGGGCTAAATAGGAGGAGCACCGGGTGGGTTTAGGGCAGTAAAATTATTCTATATGTTCCTATAATAGTGGACACCTGTCATTATACATTTGTTCAAACCCATGGAACTGTATATCACAAATAATTAATCCTAATGTAAACTATGAGCTTTAGTTTAATAATCATGTTCAGTAAAAAAAAAACATCAATTGTTAACAAATGTGCCACACTAATGCAAAAAAAAAAAATGGGAAAATGTGGCGAAAGGGGGCACGCAAGAACTCTCCAAACTGCTGTCTCATTTTCTTTAAACCTAAAACTGCTCTAAAAAAAAAAAAAAAAA